GTTCTTTTGTTTGTTTCTTTTACTTGGTAGATAACAAATAAACTCACACAGGAGCTGCAGTTTAATGGAACAATTTACCTGCCCAAATTGAACAAGCCCCGCCACAGAGCTATTGCTGGGTTTGGAAACATAAACATGACAAATACATTCAGATTTTTAAAGTGTTCAGCAACATCTGTGATGGAAGACAAAGTAATCTAAACCCCAAGTAAGTTAAAAAGCTACTCATTGGTACCCTTTCGCCTGCTTGCCATTCAAGGCAGTGTGGAGGGACTGCGGGCAAGCTATTGAACCTCTCCAAGCCTCAGTTTCCGCATCTGTAAAATGGAGATAACGCTGAAAACACAGCTTATGGGCTTATGAGGGTTAAGTGAGGTAAGGCGTGTGACTGGCCCATGGCAACTTCTCAGTAAATTATTGTGGTGATGATGACCATGAAGATGATTTTCTTTGCCCTCCCGGGGGAAACTCCCTGCTTAGTCGAGTTGTTCCTTTGTGGCCACCTAGAGGCCAGATGTAGCTTTTCCGCAGCTCCACCGTGTTTGCTCACGGGGCTGGCCAAGAACTCCCCTTCTCATCACGATTAGAGAGGTCGTATCCCTCGCAGGCCTGGGAGGCAGGAAAGGTTCTCCAGCAGGTGGAATAGGGTGAGCAGAGGCAGAAGCGGAAGCGAGGGCAAGTAGAGCCTACGCAGCCTGAGTGGCTGCCGGTGGGACGGAGCAGGGGGACCACAAGGGAGCTGGCTGTGTCCTACCCCATCCGCACGCCTTGCCAGTGACTTCAGCCCCACGGAGCCAGGGAGGGCTTCTCACTGGAAGCGTGCCCGCCATGCTGGGGATCTCTTTCCATCTGCTCATTTTACTGCTGAGTTGTAAAGCGATAAATGTCATTATCCTCCCCTTCCTTAAACAAGAAAAAAGTTAACAGCCTGAGAAAAGGAGATATTTCACTTCATTTGGCATCCAGCCACCCTCATGCACACAGGGTGCTGCTCCCTGGGGGCCTGATTAGGGACGGGAGAGCCCTGATCTGTCTGCTTTCAGCTGCCAGCACCCGCTCTGTGCGGGAGCCAGGCTGGGCGCCGGGCGCCGGAACCTGGGTCAGAGCTCGGCCTGGCCGTTGGCAGAGTAGCCAGCCACCTTCTGAACAACTCGAACAGTGTGTCGGGTGCCAGAACAGACAGAGAGAATAGGGCCAGAGGAAAGGAATTTGTTCAAGTTCACCATGCTTATTAGGGTCTGTTCTGTGTGGCCCTAGAAGCTGAACTTGAATCAGAACTACAGAAAAGAGGATTTCAACTCAATAGAAGGACAAACTCAAAAGATAGACCAGTTTGAAAAATGAATTAATTCCTTCAAGAGGTAGTAAGCTGCCTGTCTGCCAGAGGTGTGCAAGGGGTTTGGACGCTCCTTTAGAACAATCACTATTGACAGGAGTCCTGCTTTAGATGGAGAGGCTGGAAGAGGTGATGACTAAGGTTCTTTTCAACTCTGAGATTCTGGAAACTTACAACTGAAAAGTCTCACTGGCTTTCCTTCCACGCCTGGCTCACACTGGCTCGACAGGAGCCGTAGCTGCCTGGTGGTGGCCGAGACGCACAGGAAGGAGTGGGCAGGCGGCACGAGGTGTGATTTATCTTCATTACTCCGATTATGGGGTCATTAAGGCTTTTACTCTGCAGTGCTCCCCTAAGGACCTCCTGCTGCTTTCGGCTGTGTAACAGACAGTTGTTCTCCCAGCTGCCCAGTGGGCAGGGGTGTTCTGCACGGCTCAAAACTGTAATTAAATAAAGATCAGCCACCCACTAGCCTCCCCAACCAGCCAGAGCCGCAGTCCTGGGGGACTGTGAGATCTGGCCTCATCAGTGGCTTGCTGGAGAGGGGTGGCCAAGGACTAGGTCCCAAGCCCAGGGACAGCCATCCTCTCCTCCCCACTGGGCTGAGGAAAGGCCACTTGTACAAGATGCACGTGACTGGTGTGAAGGGGGAGGGTAGCCGGCTCTGCCAGCTGAAACCTTAGTTTCCCATTAGTCTCCACAAGCCGCCAGTGCAGCCCATAAGGCCATGCATAACCTGCTGTGCAGGGTCTAGCCTGGGAGCTCCCTGAAGGTAAGGGCGGGTCTATTTTGTTCTCCACTGGAGCCCCAGAGCTTGGCACGATGCTTGGCACTTGACCAGTGCTCGGTAAGTACTTACTAGCTGTGTGAAGGAATGGAAGGCCTGTTGTCCTCTTAGACTTAACAGAAGTAAACTTGGCAAAGGAGGCAGCCCTGAAAGGGCAGAGAACATTGGTCCACGTCTGGAAGTGGGGTTCCAGTTTAAATCTGTCATCAGTTCATGGCTTGACTTTGGTCAGGTCCCTGCTCTCTTGTCTCAGTTTCCCAATTGCAGAATTGGAGAATTGGCCTAAGGCTGGAGAGGAGGAAAGGAAACCCACACTTTCTGGCTGAGTTCTGGGCCTCACAGGTCCTTAGGCTGCAGACCTGGCCCGACCTCAGCACTGTAGACCTGGTCACCTGTTTGCGACTGAGGTAGACACATCCCTGCTGTCAGTTTACTCAACTCCACAGCCCAAACCGAACCTGTCTCGTGTGCCAAGCTCAGCGCAGAGGCTGGCTCAGTTATAGTTCCTGCTGCAAAAAATCCAGAGTTGGGGCAGGGGTGGGCAATAGGCCTGTTGACACAGTTGTGACCCAAGGAGAAGGAGTCAATGCAGCGCAGTGGAACACAATGCCCTGAGAGCTCTCCATGCATAAAAGGGAGTGATTAATGAGAGCTGGGAGGAGTTGGTAAGACTTCCTGAAGGAGGCACCTTTGAGCCTAGCACTTGGGATAGAAATACAGGAAAAAAAGCCAGTGGAGGAATAGGATGTACAGTCACAGAAGAAAAGCAGTTTGGGAACAGAGAGACTAGTGCGCTGGGGGAAGGGATGGGGCAAAGGGACAGTTCGAGTTGGTGATCACAGACCCAACTCTAGACCACAGATGGACTCTCCTAAGAAGACCTGTGTTCCAGGAGGCAGTACAGAACTGGGCAGGTCTGGTCCAAATTCTGGCTCTTTCCATACTTACCCAAGACCATTGTCAGTATCTGAGTGTCCTCATCTGTAAAACTAGGATAGAATGCTACTCCCCAGGGCTGTTGGATTACACGTATAATGGGTCTAGGATCTGTCCTGGAAATGGGATTTCCTATCTTTTTTTTGGCATTTGGTCAATATGCAGATACCCTAAGAGAAGCTCCAGTAGGTGTTTGTTAGTCATTAGTAATGTGAATGAGAAGATCAGAAAGAAAGTTTATTGGAAAGGTTCGACAGGAGGAGACAATGGAGGGGGAAATGCATTACCTGGGAGACAGGAAAAGCAAGGAAGGAAACAAACTGGGAAGCCTGGGGAAGCAGACAAACTTCACCAACTTCCCAATTGTGCCAGCAAACCACCGTGAATTCAGTTTGTTTGTTTGAGGAAGCAGGAGAAGAAAAAGATGGTTTCCCATCATGGGTGGAGAAGGGATGGGGGAGGAGTAGACCGGGCTGTGTGTGCTGTCAAGTTATCTCCTGGACTCTGTTACAATGGAGGTGAGAGGAAGGAAGGAGGTAGAGACTGTCACTACCCAAAGTGGTGAGCAAAGATGAGCCATGAGATGAAATTTGGGGGCCTTAGGGTGACCTCACTGTCCAGATTTCACAGGTACCTAGAACACTATCATTTGTGTTAGAGCTTTATCCCAATGGATATTAGTGACCCATGTGACAGGTGACATATAAACATGTAACGCATTAGTGTTAATAAGTATATTTGTATTTTTCCAAACCTGAAACATGCTGACAGCAAGTCTGAGGTACAAAGGAGGGGAGGCTAGGAAGTGTTATCTTGGGTAGGCCACTTCCCGTGGAGGGTTCCCAGTCTTCCCATCTGCACAATGAGAGGTTTGGAGTATGTAATCTCTAAGGACTACACCTCTCAGTCTGTTCTCCATCTGTTACTGGAGACACTAGAAGCAATGTAGGGGTGCTGGCCTATCCCTGGTTACTATCTGAGGATCAGAGATATGAACGAAGCAGTGAGTATACCTCTTTAAAGAAAGGAACACATTGCAAAACAAATCACAAATCATTATGGGGTCTTGCTGTTGCAGTTATGTACAACTAGCTTTCCTGGAGTCTGGCAAGAACATAATCTGGAATTTTAGGTTAAGTAGTTCTTGTAGGTAGGGCCACAAAAATCCAGTTTGGCCATTCTAAGATTTGGTGGCTAAGTCTTTGGCAATAAAATTCCACATCTAAGATTCCATGTCTATGATTCCAAGAGGTAAAATTCCAAGAAACTCTTCATTCTCTTGTGGAAGGTCCAAGACTAGGGGCAGGTGGCATTTCCTGATGCGTGGGCTCCTAGGTTCCCAGAACCGGGAAGTCAAGCAAAGGTTCTATTGATGGGCTTTATTCCTTGTCTGGGAGCGTTGCAGACCACGCTGAGCAAGGATGAGGCCGGCTGGAAGACTGCCAGCCAAGTAGGAAGGAGCCCTCAGCACGTGAGTGTAGACCACCGCCAGCCCCTTACCTGCTCACTGTGCAGTTTTGCCCTCTGCTCTAACCACGGCTTTTCTGGCTGCAGGACCCGTGAGACCCACTCCAGTCAACTTAAGTAGGGACTTTATTATAAGGATAGAGTGTTGCTCACGGAACTCCCTGGCACTAAGGCCTCAGGGATTGCGCCACGAACGAGAAAACGGCCAAAATTGAGACAGTTATCTTCTGTATCTCTTAGACTCACAACCATCTCATTTTCTCTGCACATTTGCCCAATTCTGTCCTTCAACTGCCAGTTTCCTGAACCGGGTCCTTCCACCTCCATGGGCATGTCAAACTGTCCTACTGTCTCGAAGTCCCCACTCCAACTCCTGAAAGAGAATCTGCTCAAGCAGGGCCTGTTCTTGGTCCTGTGGGCTGGGGGCGGGGCTTCTGGGGGCGGGGCGTCAAGAGGCGGGGCCTCGATGGGCCGTCAGAAGGAGAACGCTCGGCGGCCCCGTGGTGCTCGCGTGCCCTCGCTGTCCTGTTCCATGGTCTCGAAGAGCAGCCGTACCAGCGCCGGCCGTCCCTGGGCCACCAAGGCCCGGGCCAGCCCCAGCACCTCGCCCGTGTGGCCGCGCCACACCCGCTGCAGCTCCTGACGCAGGCGCGCCGCCGGGTACTTGTCCTGGGCGCAGCGCAGCCACACGTCCACCTCGCGGCCCAGCTCGCTGTCGCTCAGCTGCGCCAGGCTCCACTGCGCCAGCAGCGTCTCCAGCAGGCAGCCGAAGCCCTCGGTGTAGCTGGAGCCCGGGTCGTCCAGCTCCACCACGCGCTTGAAGCAGGCCGCCGCGTTGGCCTCCTCGCCCTTGATGCGCAGGCACTTGCCTCGCAGCAGCTGCAGCTCGGGCAGCGAGGCGCCCAGCTCCGACTCGCCGGCCTTGGCCAGGAAGACCAGCGCCTGATTCAGCGCCGCCTCGTCCACCGCCAGCAGCTCCTGCACCGCGTCCACGCCCATGTAGTAGTAGACCTGGGGTAGGGTGGCCAGGGTGAGCCTTGCAATTCACCCCCGTGCCCACCCGCCGTGGATGCTCCCGGCACTCCAACCTTCCCTCCTTCCACAGCCATTCACCGAAAAGTGTGTCCCCCTTCCCTGGAAAAGGAGAGATCCCAGTTCCAGCCCCACCACTCTTGGCCACATAACTTTGAGCAAGGCAATTTCTGGGGCTCGGTTTTCTCATATGTAAAAGATGATCTTGTCACCTCATGGTAATCATTCCCTGTGCACACTTTCTGGGTGCTTAGAAAGAGTTAGGCCCTGTTCTAAATGATGTATGGGCATTCTGTCATTTAATCCTCACCTGTAGGAGGTGGGTACTGTTACAAGGTGGGGCGATGTCCCCTAATTCTCCTTGTGTCCTAAGTTCCCAGGCCTGGCCTGGCAGAAAGTAAATAGATTCTTAGCCATTAGCTATTCAAGCCAAGTGACTACCTTACCTGGCTGATGTCCAGGTAGGTCTTGAGGCCTGGACACACCTTGACCACTTCCTCGAGGTCGGCCTTGGCGCAGGCCAGGTGGTTCCTGTCAGGCATGCCTCCGAGCCCCATCTTGACCCGCTCCAGGTCATGAAGGTAGGCTTTGATGTGGATCTGCCCACAGAGAGTCAGCTCAGGGAAGATGCTCCAGACAAGGACCCCTGCCCTCCTTTCTACTCTAACTGAAGCCAGTCTTTTTGTCAACAGCAACTCAGGGAAGTTCTGTGGTGTAGCAGAAAACTCCTGAGCCTGGGACCCAGGAGTCCTAGGTTTTGGTCTTATAACACCTTGAACTAGCCACTCCCCTTTCTGAGGCTTAGTTTCCCTGTCTGTACAATGAGCAGGTTGGATGAAGTAAGAGCCCTTCATTCATTCACTCATTCATTCAATAAATATGTATGGAGTGCCCACCATATGCCAGTCCCTGTGCTAGGTACTGGGGGTGCAATGGTGATAAGACAGATGAGGTCCCTGTCCTGTTGGAACTTAACATTCTAGTAGGGAGGTGATCATGTACAAGTAAACAGTACCATTTCAAATGGTGATAAGGGCTATGAAAAAATAAGCAGGGTGATAGGATTGAGGTTACTGGGGACAAGGTTATTTTAGATAGGATGGCAGCACCGATTTTGTGAAAGTCCAAGTAAGCAAGCGGTTTGGGAAGAATGGTGATGGCCCCAGTTTACAAGCCTCAAATGGGTCCAGACCCTTGCTTTCATCTCTACTTCTTACCTTTCCCCCCACACTTGGAGCATTTAGAAAATTTAGAGATTCAGGAAGGATGGGCTAGGGGTGAGAAGGAGGAAGTATGGAAAAGGGGGTCATCATTGTTGAAGGTATTAATGCCCTATAGCCAGTGGGGTGGGCTCTGGCTAGAAAAGAGCATCACAAGGTGGAGGGTGGAGGGTGAGGGTGGGAAGCTCTAGTTTTATTGCCAGTTGGACTTGGTTGAATTCCAACCCCTCCCCCCTTATTAGCGTGTGAGCCAGGGGATGTTGCTGGACCTCCATGAGCCTCATTGTCCACATTTGCAAAATTAGTGCACTAATATCTTTCTTGGGGTTTAGCATGATGATTGAGAGAACATGTTCCAACCAGGACCTAGCATATGGTAGGCGCTCAGTTCATTCATTCATTCAACAAATATTCATCCAGAGCCTGCTGTACGCCAAGTACTGTTCCAGGAACTGAGGGTACAATAGAGAGCAACATGACAAAATTCCCTGCCCTTGTGGAGCTTATATTTTGGTGGTGGGGAGAGACAAAAAATATAATAAATAAGCAAATAGTATGTTAGGTGGTGACAAGTGCTAAGAAGAAAAAGTAAACCAAGAAAGGAGGATGTAAAATGTTGAGAGGTTGACATTTTCAGTAAGATAGTGCTAGAATGATGGTGTCATTGAGACCAAGAACGAGGGAGCAGATTGGAAATAATGTCCTTAGGAAAGTAATAGAGAAGATAGGAGTGGCTGTTCAGCCTGTAGCAAAGTAAACTCAGAGCTCCAGGTCTCTGTCCCCAAGCAAATGGGCTCAGTGGGGGTCCAGAGGGCAGATCTGGGATCAGTGGGGGAAGGCAGAGGGACACAGTTCTCAACTAAATTTATAACTTGCAGAGCTGAATGACCATGTGGTGGACTGCTTCAAGAGATAGTGAATCAGTTAAAAATACTAATAACAGCACTTATGAGCTCTGACTATGTGCTCAGTGCTGAGTTTTACACAGAATCTAATTTAATTCTCATAACTCTATGACATGGGTACAGTCATCTCCAGTCTACAGATTTGGGGCAAGACCATTTGTCTATAGTCCCATAGTATGTAAGCCGTGCTATGGGACTTGAACCAAGACTAACGTGTTCGGAGCCAGAGTTCTGGTCTACTACCTTAGGCTACCCCTAAAAGACCCTACTGCCTTTCACAAGCACCTCCCATGCTCTAGGCGTGGTGCATTAGATGTTACTTCACTTAGTCTTCTAAGATAGGTGTTAACTGTATCTTCCAGATTTGGAAATGTGGAGGGATAAGAGGCTTGCCCCCAGTCCCACAGTGATGAGTGGAGAGGTCAGATTTCAACCCAGGTCAGTCTGACTACACTGGATACTACTCAAGAAGAGGCTGCTGGTCACTGACTAGATAGGTCATTGTAGAAGGGATGCCAGCAGTGGATGGGAGGGTCCTTTATTCTTTTAATTAACAACTGTACAGAACATTAACTATGTGTTGATGATACCTAAGCTCCTTTCCATCATGAAGGCTCCATTGTCTTTGGGCTCTGGCAACAGGTCTTGGCCCATGGCCCTTGTTCTCTGATTCCGGTGGCAGAAGGAGGTGACTCACCTTGGCCCTTGTGCAGTATGCCTGCCAGTTGAGCTCCGGATCCCGTAGGACATCCAGGGCCATGTTGCAGGTGCCAATGGCCATATCCTGCTTCCCTAGGAAGTGGAAGATTTTGGCCAGGCGATTCAGGATCGGGGGTTCGTCCTTGGCAATCTCAATGGCCTGGGTAAGAGCAAACGATTTGTCTGTTTGTCAGAACTGGCTAAATAGTGCCTGACCTTCAGAAACCCCATCTCTGGATAGAGCCGTCATCACAATGCTCTTATTCCCCATATCCACCTGCCAGGAAGCTCAGTCTTCTCAAACAGTCCAACACCTTGGGGTACAGCTCATTGGCACTTAACCCCCGAGAGCTCGACTCACTGCCATGCTCTCTGCCATGTTTGAGGGTCATGTCCAGTGAACCCGTCCAGACCCCAAGCAAACCCCTCTTCGTCAGACACATCCAGTGTGCTCACCCCCCTTTTCCCAGGGTGGTTGGGAGGAGGGGCCGGAGTCAGCCTCTCCCTGCCCGTACCTGGTGCAATGTTTCTATCTAGGCCACAGCACTTACCCCTGTATTGTTACTGATTGCCTGTCCTGTGTTCTCTGCTGCCCCTGAGATGGTGACTTCCGCAGGGCAGTGGCCCTGTCTGTCCGTCTCTTTGCCCCAGCATAGACTAGGTTCTCAAGAAGGGGGGGGCGGTGAAGGCCATGTTTTTATTCAATTGGACACAACTCTCAGAACACTCATGAACTAGTGTTATGCTCTGTTCTAAGATCTCTCATCAAGAAATTGCTCATCACCCGCCAGCAGACACTAGGGCTGCGCCGTGCAGACTGTGCCCAGGGCACAGGTGAGTGAATAGCACAGGTCTCCGGCTCCAGGAAAGACTTCAAAAGTGAGCCGAGTCTAGGAATTGCCACATAAACAAGGTGCCAGAAATAAGGCTGAAACAGCACTTTACAGTTTGCAGTGAACTCCTCTGAGTCTCTCAATCATCTAAAAGGCAGAGAGATCACATAATGAAAAGATAACGAGGCTCAGAGATGGAAGTGACTTGCCTTAGAGTCACTGGCCTGTGGGCCCGGGAGACCCTGGCTAAACCCTCTTCTTTCCACTGGGCCCCTGGAGGTGGGAGAGACGCTGTGAACCAAGGCCTGAAGGGAAAAGCCCGAGGGTATGTATGTCTGGGAGATGGTGAAGGGCTGGAAGACAAAGTTGGAGACAGGCCTGGGCAGGGCGGGGTGTGGAGAGGACGGATGACAGGGGGCACTTCTGTTTGGGTTGGACAGCAAGGTCTGGAGTGAGGGCACTTCCCGAGTGGGCACCCAGGGGGTGAAAGTGGGAGATGGCACCAGAGAAGCAGAGGGTCCCAGAAGGGGAGGAGAAAGTGGTAGGCTCAGTCCCAGTTTGGAGAGTGGGTGTGGCTGGGGGGACCTACCTTGCCGAAGCAGTCCAGGGGGTCAGTTCCTGAGTACCCACAGTCGTGGACACCCATGGGGGTGGAGGAGAAGGTGTCCTTCCTCTCCAGCAGCATCCCAAGGTAGCACCAGGCCAGAGCTGCGGGGAGGGGGGAGAGGAGAGGGTCTGTAAGAAGCAGCAGGGAGGAGAGGGACAGGAGCCACAAGGAAGGAGGGGACCAGCTACACCACGATGTCACTCCCAGGAAGACAAAGGGAGGGTAGTGGCATGAAATCTCAGAAGTGCCCTCAGGGACCTACTGAGAGAAACAGGGTGGGGGAGGGGACAAGGGGGTGAGTGGATGAACACACCGTCGTGCTGAACCAGTGTACTGCGCCACCTAGGGGCGTCTCTGAGGGCGCGCAGCTCTCCGCTCCAGCTCTGAAGGCTGGTCCCTGTTCTAGTGGCTCTGTAAGCAATGCCTGGACTCCGCTCCAGCACAGCCTTCATTCCCGGCCAGAAAGGGGATGAGTGCTGAGACAGAATCTGTCTCGTACATGCTGGGTCTTGAGACACACACCTGAAACGTGCAGTTGTAGTGATTTGCCGTTGGTGTACTCACCTGTGCAAGGTGAGTGAGCTCTTGAGATGAATGTATGACACAGAGGGTAAGGGAGAGAAACGGGGTCTAAAACAGGGAGGCAGTGCTAGAGGTGGGGCCAATGACAGAGACAGGTGCAGGGGGAGCCGGGCAGAGGCAGATCTCCCACCATCCCCTAGGACCCTACCTCGGTGGTGGGGGTCCGAGGACTTGAGGACTTGCCGGAGCAGAGCCAGGGTGCGGTTGAAGGCGGGCAGCCTCTTCTGCTCCTCGCTACCCAGCTCCAGGAAGATGCCATCTAGCCTGTGGCCAAGAAAAGGATGCAGCTGGTCAGTACCCTCGCAGCTGTCCCCAGCATGCTTTCAGTCCCCTCTTTCCCTGGCCAGTGGCAGGGAGGGGAACTTGGGGAACCCTTGCCATGGAGATGGGCTCAGCCACCTCTCCCCTGGATTCCAGGTCACACCTCCCCCCAGTACCGTACCCCCTTCCCAGCCTGACCTGATAAAAAGCGTTGCCATGGTGAAGTACCAGCCCCTTTTCTCCTCCATGGGGATCTAGGGAAGCAGAGAATGGCCTGAGCTGCTGTTACTGAGGCACTCAGGCTACTATGCAAAGATTCCCACACTTTCCCTGAATCCCGAGAAGCAGCCAGTAGTACAAGGGATTTGGCCTTACACGTCCTTGATATTGATTTGCTGGATGACCTTGGGTAAGTCACTTCACTTTCTGACCACAGAGGGTTTGATGGGATAAGCTGTGTGATTGTCCTACATGAGGAGTCCTGCACATCCCCTCCCCGCCTGTCTTGCTCTCCAAGATAAGGTCCTCTCCCTTGGCCCCCAACCTGTGCTCTGCACCCCCCAGCCTGGGCTCACACTCCATTGGTCACCTTCTCTCCCCCACTGTTCACCCACTTTCCTCCTTGGCGCCATCCCCCAGCTCCCCCCTTCCTGAGAAAGCCCCTTTGGGCATGCTGAGTGAGTTCAGCTGAGGCCCGGGACCCCCCTGAACTGTCTCCCATTGTTATTCTTGCCAACCTTGCCGTGCATTTAGACCGACTTGGGCACCAGATAAAATATTTATGGTGTTATTTATGGGAGTAGCTGTTTCTGCCTCAGGAAGGAATTTTAATGAAAACCAATAAAACCCCCAGTGCGTATCAGCTCCGCTTCAGGCTCTGGCCCCTCCCTCTGTATCCATCTCCTGCTATGGTCTCCAGACTCAAGTCTGAACCCACCCCACACCCCACCATGGCTTCCTCAGCTCAGGACCCCATCATCCCTCCACCTCCACTCCCAGCAGCCAGGGTGAGCGCATTCGGTCCAGCCAGTGTTTCTGGGCATCTGTGGTGTGAGGCCCAGTGCTGGGTGCTGTGGGGATGGGGACCTGGATGGGAATTGCTCCCTGGCCTAAAAGGGCTCCCAGCCTACCCAGGAAAACAGGCCCTGATACTGATCATCTCATTCTCATAACACCTACAAGGTAGGTGTCATCCCATTATACAGAGGAACATGTTAAGGCTCAGAGAGGTAAAGTGACTTGCTCAAGTTCACACAGTGTGCAGTGTCAGAGCTGGGATTTGAACCCCCTTTGTTAAGCTCCAAAGCCCATGCTCCTCTCACCACACCCAGTTGCCAATGATCATAGTACAAGGCAGAGTCTGACCAAGGCCCTGTGAGGGATGCAGACAAATACAACAGATGGAGAGGCCATCCCAGCCAGAGGCTGAGAGAGTCTCGCAGAGCATGGGCTGTAGGGTAGGTCTTGAATAGCAGTGGTATTTCAGAGGGTGGGAAGGGGGACAAGGGCCTTCCGGATGGAGGCTGAGCGTGGAGATGTGGGCAGTCTGGTGAGCACGAAGCCGGTGCATGTAGATGTGGTGTGGGGGAGCTGACGCTCGCCAGTCATGTTGTGGCTGCTTTGGGGAGCCATGGATGAGCTTGGAGGGAGGAAAAGAGGAAGGAGACCTGAGTCAGATCCCAATGAGTGAACCAAGCCAGACCCCCAAGAGGAGGCCCCACTAATTGCATTTCTCAGCCACTATTTCCCCAAGTATCTTCCTGTGTGGCTGGGAGCTTCCGGTCAGGCAGGAAAGTCAGAGCCAAGAAACACCAGGGGTACAGGAGGTGGTACCCTACATAATCCAGGGGCACTCCCAAGGCTACCGGAGGACAAGCTGAAGCCCCTGAGTGCCAGGCTTAGGACCTGGAGCTCATCTTAGGACCAGGAGCCACAGAAGGGTTAGAGTTGGGGAGTGCCAAGATCCAAGGTGGTTCTACATTCACAGCACCTTAGAGAATAATCCTGTTACTTAGAAGGGAATGCGCTTTGGGGCTTTGGCTGAACAGGCTGTCGGGAGGGGAGAGCAGCAGGTCCCTTGAGAGCTCAGTGGGGAACACTGGCCAAAGCAAAAGGCTGGGATAGGGTGCTGGGTAACCTTACCTGCTCCACCTACACAGGACCTGGGATGTGGGAAGGGAGCTCGGATTCATGGGACAACTACTGTGGGCCAAGCTGGCTGAAGACCTGGACATAATATCCGGGCTTGACCATGGAAAGATGAAGGCATGTGTGCCTCAGACTCCCTGGCTGCTTGGAGGTGTGATCTCATGACCTCTGACCTCATGCCCACTTTGAGATTGGCCACATTGAGTCATAGTATGAAGAGACGGAACCTGCCCCCCCACCCCCGGCTCCTCACAAGGAGGTGTAGCCATAAGCGAGAGCAGGTGTGATAGGTGTGGGGGCTGTAATACAAAGAGCAGAGGCCCCCGTGGGGCTCTGTCTTTATCTGTAAGGGGGATAATAATACCAATCTCACAGGTGTTGTAAGGCACTGCCTAGCCTGGAGTCCTTGCTCCATTAATGATTGCTCCCTTTCTCCTGGTTTGGGTTAAAGCCGAATGGAGTTAGGGGTGTCCAGGAGGCTGCTCTGTCCACTGTGACCTACTTCAGCTCCCCTTGGGGCAATGAGGTCTCCGGCCCTGGCGTCCAGAGGCATCCAGCCTCACTCACTCTCCACGCCTGGCTGCACTCCTAGGCCTGAGCCCTTAGGGTCCCGGGCACCTTCCTCGCTTCCACGCGTTCCCAGTGTTGGAGAGTAATGGGATGTCTTCAGGGCTCTCCGGGTTCACAGTCACTGTCTTGTTTGGTATTCAGGTTGCGAGAAATTAAATTATGTGCCCAGCCACACAGTACATGACAGAGCCGGGACTTCAACTCAGGCCTTCATAGTCCTACCCTCAAGCCTTGTCCACAACACTCAATTATTTTGATCAATGTCCTTATTATATCTCTGAGGACATTGCGACCACAGAGGTGAAGCCATTTAGCAGCGGTCACACAATAGTTCGTATTAGGGCTTAAAATCCAGTGGTTTCCCCACCACAATGATACTCTTAAGTAATTTAAGAGCCAGGTTATGGTTTGAACTGAGTGAGCAATACTGCCACCTGTGGCAGTATGCCTGAATTGCAGGGACAACTCTTAAAAGTTGACTCTATTTCTCCTTCCACTTGAAGACTGAAACTGATATTCAGAAAAGTAGCTGAGTGACATCTGTATGACAAGTCCCAAACATGGCCCCTCCTTAGATTCCCACTTAAGAGTTACATTTTCAGCAGGGCTTATGGGGTTGCAGATACAGAATGAAGTTAATTGTATAAATGGATCTGATCGGAAGCATTGCTGTGCCTAAGGCTTAATCTTCTATCCCTGATAAAGCTGGTGGATGCCGTTCACTCTGCTGTGAAATTCTGGCCCTGAAATGAGCTGTCTCTTTAAAAATCCTTCTGGTTGTAACTGAAGCAGCAGCTGAAGCTGTTACCAGGGGCAACCTAGCAAGCCATAGTGCGTTAAATTAAATTAAACAGGCCTCTGACTGCTCCCTCCCCTCCTGGAGAAGGGAAGGGCTGTTCTACTTCTCTCCTGCAGAATAAAGTTGCTGTGAAACCTCTTACGCTGCAAGGAATTCACTTCCAGAGTTGATGGCTCCCAAAGGCAAGGTGTTCGGGGGCTGAACACGCTCTGGCAGAAGGGGAGTGTGGGTCCTTATCATGACCCCATGAGCTGGGGCTTCTGGTGTCTACAAGAGGGGGCTGGCCAGTGTGAGGCAACCCAGGCTTCAAGCTGGAGAGCTGTGTGGCCGATCTGTGGAAGGGGAGTGGGCAAGGCCCAGGTGCCAACGCTGGGCCTGATTTGAAATCCTTAGACACTGGTACTAACTGAAGATGAGAGGACCAGACCTCAGACGAGGGGTTCTCAGGACATTCCCAGCTTCTCTGGGGCTCTCACTATTATTTCTCTCATTTTGGAGATGGGGAAACTGAGCCTCAAAGAGGCAGAGACTTGCCTATTTAGCCTGGCGCTCAGGCCAAGTCTCTCTGACTTCAAGTTCATGTTCTCCCATAACACCTAGCTGCAAGTGTTTGCACAGTGCGTATCAAAAAACACACATGCAGTTTCCACTTGATCCTCAGAACACCCTGTGTGGAATGTAAAGTGTATTGTCATTACCCTCCTGGTACAGATGGGCAAACTGAGGTGAGATGATGTCTTCAAAGTCACACGGCCAGTGTGAAAGCCTGCACTGAAACCTAGGAATGGTGCCTTTTTTTTTGCTATGCTGATAACAGCACATTTTATTGAGCCCTTGCTATGGCCCAGGCATATAGCTTGCATGTGTTAACACATTCTGCCCTCTCCAGGCTCACCTATGAGGTAGAGACTATTATTATCCTGATTTTACAGATGAGGCAACTGTGGTCCAGAGTGGCACAGCTAGAAGGTAGCAGAGCTGAGACCTCAGCAGCTTAGCCCCAGAGTCCCTGCACCCAACTACCTTAGACTAGTGGCTGTCAAAGTGGTCCCGGGACCCGCAGCAACAGCATCACCTGGAAATTTGATAGAAGTGCAGATTCTTGACTCACTGAATCAGAAGCTCTGGAAGTAGGGTCCAGCAACTGCATTTTAACAGGCCCTCTAGAGGACACACCCTCGTTGGAGAACCACGGCTCTAGGCTCTCCCTGAACCGCACTGCGGGGAGCCGAGTGAGAACAGGCTGGCTGGTGGATCTTTTTTAAATGAGCCAAAGGATCAGAAACTGGGATCCTCGGGGAAGCCTGAAGATCCAGGCTGCTGTAGTTCGATGGGTAAGTGACAAAGGTGGGTGATTTGGTAAAGCCTGCAGAGACTAGCAGGATGAGGACAAGCTATTAGAGAGCAGGTTTGTGTTAACTCGGGGGCACGAGGATGGATCTTAGCCATTCTACTTACTTCCAAAGGTGACCCCCACAGAAGGAAACACTGGAGACTTGGCTATCTTAAAGGATTTCAGTAGAAGATCTGTCAGTATACCAATGGCTTATGAGTCTGTGTGCATTCAGATAGGCTATACAGAGACCTTGTTGGTTCTTAAGGAAAATATTCGCCTTGCAGTTTGAACTTTGCCCCTGATGACCGTGGGACTCTACATTTGTGAATTAATTCTTGACAGCTGACTAATTTTCTCTCAGGGGAGGGGGAATGAGGAGGAAAAGGAATGAACATTTCTCG